GGATTCGAACCTTACATGCTAATGGTGCTTCATTTTTTTATTTGCATTTACTTCAAAGAAAATACACGCAAAAATCTTCATCGCGCAGTAAAAAACACAACAAATATATGTATAACTAATACGAAAATTTATACCCAAAACAAACAAATAATACTACCTATAAATAACCTAATAAGTAATAATATTATCGACTCATATGACGTGGCGTATGCGTTGGTCGACGCTCTAACGACACGGGCTTCACGTCGAAGAGCTCAGCGCTCACTTCCCTATATATAATGTACTCTGTGGCGCTCACTGACTAAAGCAAGCCCGTGAGCAGTAAATATGCCCAGATTTTAAAATAATTTCTTAATAAAATCAAATTTTGGTCTTTTGAAAAAAAATTTACTATAGAAATGTTTATTAATAAATTGCCTATCCATTGGTGTAAATCGCAAAATAAAATAATACTTACTTTACGAGGAGATGCATGTTATCAATAATAATTTCACATTTATGTGGTTTCGTTGTAAGGAGATTATATTAATATTTATTCCTTTAAAAAAAATTGGATATAGCTTTTATAGAATCAAGATTATGTAGAAATATAATGTGTTTTTTATTTGTTGATATATCTTTTAAATAAAAAGTAGATAGCTCCTAAAAACCGCCCAAATAACGACTAGCGCGACATTTTGCTCAACCTGCGCCTTAACATGAATAACGTTCAAGAGGCAGCTGCTATAGATACCTAATTGTGTGAACAGTACGACGTCAATGCATTAACCATAGATATATAATTATGTAGAAAGCTACATATTTAATATTTATATATAAAATATTTAATATATAATGGCGTACGCCGAGTAGTGTAGTGAGACTAGGGTTGCCAGATGGTCGGGATTCGTCTGGATTCTCCCGACATTTTAAATGATCTCCCGACTCCCGACAAAACTCAAAATCTCCAGACAAACAGCTCCTCGAAATGTTAATAATTTAAAATTGAAATGCAACCAAAACGAAATTATGAAATTTAAAAAAAATTATATCATTTATGTTGTCAATTCTTGTAAGCAATGCTTATTGTGAAAGGGTATTAAGTTTACTAAATAATTTATATACTAAAGAGAGAAATCGTATAGCTATTGATTTAATAAAAGCTGGGTTACTAATTAGAATGAACTTTGAGAAAAATTGTTTAAATTTTAAATCTTTTCTGAATACCACTAAAGGATCCAAATTCGTGGATTCAGTAAAGTCCAATGCCAACTACCTGTGGCAACCTCAAAATTAAGTGTAGTTACATTAATTATCTGTCAACAATGTTAAGTATATTTGTATTGTAGCCCATTAATTTAAAAAATAATATTTTTGTTTTACATTTTTATTTTTAACATTTACAACATTTCATTAACAGTGGATTGCGGAAGCCCGTCTGGCTACATTGAATGCATGTGGAGGAATGAATGATAAGATGGATGAAGTATGCGATATGATGCATGATAGAGGAATAGATGTGTTATGTGTAAATGAGACGGAAGGGAAAGGATGCCACTACAAATGGCATGTATACCGCGTACTGGTCTAGTGTAGACGAGACCAAGCGGGCATGCCAGGGAGTCGGTATCATCCTTTCAGAAAGAATGGGTCATTGTGTGAAAGAGTATGAATGTGTAACCCCGAGACTGCTATGGATACGAATGAAAGTGGGCTTAAAGAAGTTGTTTGTTTTAGGGGTCTACGCCCCAGACATGTCTAAGCCCACTTATATACGAGAGCAGTTTTGGGAGTTGGTAAGGATGGTGCTAATGAAATGCAAGATTAATGAAAATATTGTGATATTAGGCGATTTTAATGGAAGGGTTGGGGTGAGGAGGCTTGGTTATGAAAGGATATTGGGAACGTTTGGTGATGAAAGTATAAATGAGAATGGTGAAAGCCTTCTCGCTGTATACGTGGAAAAGAATATTTTTGTGACGAACACTTTCTTTCGTCATAAGAAGATTCACGCGTATACATGAGAAAGAGGTGATGATAGAAGTATGATATATTTCATAATTGTTGATGAAAGAATGAGGAGCGCGGTGGTAGATACAAGGATTTACCGGGGCTCTAACGTAGGGACGGATCATTACTTGGTCTTATGCTGAATTAATGGTTTTTTCAGACGTTGGAGGCATCGGACATCTGTGTCTCCCAACTGCGTTACAGCGTATAAGAACAGAGAGGTTAAAAGATTTGTGAAAGAGAAGTTCAAATGTAGATTGAGAGAAAATATAAGTGGTATGGCTGAATTGTGTATGAATGATTTAGACTTGGAGACTATGTGGTATAATGTCAAGAAAGATTTAGTGGATGCAGCTACCGTAGTATGTGGTGTAAGTAAGAGAACGAATGAAAGGAAAAATAACACGTTATGGTGGGATGATGAGGTACGGATGGAAGTTGAAGCAAAGAAGAAAGCATGGCTAGATTTACTAGCAAACAAGGCTAGTAATTCTAGCAGTATGAATGATGATATTGAAAGAAAAAAGGCAGTCTTTAGACACCTAAATAAGAGAGTAAAAGAAGTATTTGAAAGGAAAAAGCAAGAAAGAACGGATAAGAATGATAGAAGAATAAGATAAGAAGAATATCGGATAACTTCCAAGCAAACATTAAAATGTTCTGGAAACTCGTAAGAACTACCAGGGGACATTCAAAACAGCCTAGAATTAATGCTATACGAGACCAGAATGGCTGTATTCTGAATGACGAAGTTTTGAGTTTAAGGAGATGGAAGGAATACTTTGAAAGCGTGTTTATGAGTGATGAGACGTTTGAATTAAATGAAATAGAAATTCCGAAAGAAGAGGAAATAGATAGACTATGTATAAGTATAGATGAAATAATGAAAGCAATGAAAAGTATGAAAGCAGGTAAGGCAGCCGCTTATGATAGAGTATCTCTCGAAATGCTAAGGGCTGGAGAAGGAGTGGTAGCATACCTGCTGTACACCTTGTTTAATTTATGTTGGGAACTTAAGCGGGTACCGGGAGACTGGTGCAAAGCCGTGATAGTCCCAATATATAAAGGAAAAAGATCACAGCAGGACTGCCGTGGTATCAGCCTTCTTAGCATTGTGGGAAAATTTTGCGATGTGCAAGCTGGATTTAGAAAGGGGATGGGATGTACGGATCAGGTCTTTTCCATGCGCATGATCGCGGAGAAGTTTTTGGCCAAAAACCAAAAAGTTTTTTGTGCGTTCATGGACTTGGAGAAGGCTTATGACAGAGTGGACAGGGATGTGTTATGGCAAACACTGAACTCATTTGAGTTGAGCGCTGGCTTGATACAGGCATTGAAGTCTCTACATAGGGACTCTAGTGCTTGTGTCAGGATCAACGGGGCCTACTCGGACTGGTTTAGCATCCATAAATGTGTCAGACAGGGCTGTGTGGCTTCCCCGTGGCTGTTCAACCTATTTATGGACAGTTGTTTGGAAAATTTGACAGTAGAAGAATGCGGGTTAAGAATGGGTGAGTTAACCGTCAAATGCCTTTTGTACGCCGATGATCAAGTCATACTTGCGTCGTCGGCAGCCGAGTTGCAAATGATGGTTACATTAATGAACAGGACATTTAAAGAAAAGGGAATGAAAGTAAACGCAAGTAAGACGAAAGTTATGGTTTTTGAAAGAGAAGAAAGTAAAACGATATGTGAAATAAAAATAGAAGGGGAGTTGGTAGAGCAAGTAGATGAGTTTGTGTATTTGGGATGTGTGTTTAGCAGGGATGGTAGATATGATAAGGATATAGAACGACGAGTGAATGCAGGAAATAGAGTGAATGGGGCTCTACACTCTATTGTGAAAAGTCAGAATGTGTCCAAAAAGGCACGTATGGCAATTTACAATGCTGTGTTAGTACCTACTTTAATGTATGGTAGGGAAAGTTGGGTGTGGCAGAAGAAGCACGAGAGTAGAATAAATGCTGTAGAAATGCGGTCATTAAGGAGTATGTTATGGATGAATCTGAATGACAGAGTGAGAAATTGTTTAATAAGAGAAGAGTGTGGTTTGCAAGATGATGTTGTGACCAGGATTAAGAAAGGAATGCTTCGGTGGTTTGGTCATGTAGAAAGAATGAATGAGGAAAGAGTGACAAAGCAAATTTATGTTGCAGAGGTGAACAGCAGAGTCGAGAAGGGTCGCTTTAGGCGAAAGTTTATCGACCAAATTGGCGATATATTGAAAATGGGCTAAATCAAGAGTACCTTTAACCTTTATATGGATGTGGAGGAAGCGAGAGAGGTGTATCAGGATCGTGCCAAATGGAAGTCCATAGTCTCTGCCTACCCCTCTGGGTGACAGGCGTGAGTGTTTATTATGTTATGTTTTAACATTTATTTCTCCCGACAACAACCCCAAAATCCCGACATTTTCAAATTTTGTCCAGATATTTTGGTCTTCCGATCTGGCAACCTTAAGTGAGACGCTTCGTGTATCTTCGGGGCACTTCGCGAAGTTTTGACTCGGGCGCAAAAAGCCGACAGCGATTGGAAGTCGCCCGAGGCGAAGCGAGGTTGCACGAAGCGAATCGAAGTACCTCTCTAAACTATTCTCCCGGCCCAACTTCGATCTCCTTCGCGAGTAATGTAGAGGGGCCATTAAACTATAGAATTGTTCATATATGACTCACGGGACAGTGAAATGGTTAAGAATAATTAAACACCTCGAACGCGAAGCGGAGAGATTGGGCTCTACTGTCAAATTTTTCAAATCACTCGTTCCAGCGTTTCACTCACACTAAGTACATGTTTATTAATTATTATTTCATATCCCACTAATATGTTATGGAAAGCACATGAGTAGAAAGAAGAAACACTAATGACCAAGCTTGATGCTTTTTTCTTATTTCAAAAACACGCATATTATAAAAAAAAGTCGGATAAAAAATTATATTGTGGATTTCCTTTAGTCTGTGGTTCATAAATTCTCTGTGTACAATATAGGTATCTCGTGAACTACTTAACAAAACGACATAATTTTTTTTCACTATCTTCTGAGTCATGTAGAGCTGGTTGCTTTCAATAATCACTCTTGTAAACCACTTAAAATATTACATGAGCGTTCGGAGTGTGTATCCAATTTTTTTTTTCAAACTAAACTTTACTTTTACAATAGTTCAATGTTGTCGTTCCGTTGCTAACGGTTGCTAAGTAATGTAACTGTACAGCAATATCGATACCAACTGTCACTGCAATTAACATTCTAACTGCGTAATAACTGTGGTCTCGCTTAACTCCTTACTTTTTTCCTTAAGTTGTGATATTAATAAAAGCATTGGTGCAACATCTGAGTCGCCTACTACAGTTGATCCCTGACTTCAGTATAATTGTGATCCTGCGGAAATTCTGGTGAGCGATGGTGCATTGAACATTTTGTGTGCGTAGTGCCAAAAGCAAAGTAAGATTTTTAAGTAGAACTATAAGGAATTAAATTTTGATTTTAGAATTACTACACTCTCTACACTTTCGTATGGTGAGTGTAGAGAACCGGAGACTATTTTTACTGGATACAAGGTATTCCATACTAGTCCTCAGGGGCGACAACGCATCTGCATTTTTTTCCATTTGTATGTTTGTTGAGTTTGTGTTTGTTGAGGATAGTTGCATATGTCTATGAGCCACGGCATCCACTATCAGGTGGACTATGTGTTCGTTTATATTCGTACATTATACTTCAATGGACAAGAATATCGTGTAGTGGCGGTGTAAGAATATCTACTACCCCATATTATCATCCCGTGGGTGTCGTAATAGGCGACAGAGGGAAGCAAGTCAGAAGATGGGCAGCAGCGTCATCCTAATAACGACTAAAAATTAAGAACTGCGGTTGGCATCTCGCTTGCCAAGCGTTGCAACTATGGCAAATATCCCCCCTATGAGACAATCTATGGGCGAGGCCCGTATATTCAGCAGTGGACTTTAGTAAGCTGTAACAGAACAAGAATAACTAAATTCCCTTGAATTTGGTGTATGTACAATGAGGTGTAGCAGCCGGCAGTGATGGGTCTGCTGGAGAAGCTATCGGTGTGGCTGGGCGGGGGGCGTGTGGAGGCGACGGTGCTGGTGCTGGGGCTGGACAACAGCGGGAAGAGCTCGCTGCTGCATGCGCTTCGTAGTGCAGACCAGCGCCCACAACACGACGCTGACCACTTCACCAGTACGTATACCATTGAAGTATTTCTTTGTGTTTTTGTGTCGTGGCAGTGGATAGTCACCTTTAATACACTAGTAGAAAATAAAAACTTGGACCCACCAAAACAACTATGTCATGGTGGGTCCAAGTTTTTATTTTATAGAATGTGAGTGACAAACGAGCTCACAGTCCACCTGATAGTAAGTGGTTGCTGTGGCCCATAGACATCTACATTTATCTTCAATTCAGAATCAAAATGCAGATGCGTTGTCACCCCTGAGGACTAGGATGGAATGCCTCTTTTGTAATAAAAAGAGTATCCGGTTCTCAGCATTCGTCATACGAAACATAGCAACATTAAACTGTTATTTTAGGCTGGTATTCTGTGAGAGCGTAGTCCTACCCTGGTCGAGTCGACCTATTCGTGATACAACCATAATATGGCTGCCGCGTGGCTTGTTTCGGATTGAGTGTAGAGAACCGGAAAACTTTTTTCTAACAAGCATTCCATCTTACTCCTCAGAGGTGACAACGCATCTGCAATTTGATTCTTAATTGAGGATAAATGTCTATGGGTCAAAGCATCTACTTACAATCTGGACTGTGCGCTGGTTTTTCACTCCTATTTATAAAAAAAATATTCAATAAGATATACATCTTACTTATAGTAGTTAACGGGAATATTAGTAATATGTATAGTGTAATAGTATCTTTTTTTTTTTAAGAAACGACTTTGCACACTAATTCCTGATAAAGTAGAATTTTGCTTATGTCCTTTATTATTGTATAACCATTACATCCAGCAAGTGTGTAAGTCAGAAGTTAGTGGTTAGGGATGGCTGTACAGTGTACAGTGTGCACGTCTCGGCGCGTGCACTGTTTAGGGATACTATTATAGTGTTGTACAGTGTGCACGTCGGCTCTTGCAGGCGGCGGGGTGACGTTCCGCGCGCACGACGTGTCGAGCGTGGCGGGGCACCGCGCGCTTTGGAAACTTCACTTCGATCGAGCGCACGCGCTCGTGTTTGTATTACACTAGAATAGCATTGTACAGGGATCACGTCGGCTATTGCATTTTATATTACACTAGTAGGTCAGCTCAGTGTTGTACAGTGTACACGTCGGCTCTTGCAGGCGGCGGGGTGACGTTCCGCGCGCACGACGTGTCGAGCGTGGCGGGGCACCGCACGCTTTGGAAACTTCACTTCGATCGAGCGCACGCGCTCGTGTTTGTATTACACTAGAATAGTATTGTACAGTGTGCACGTCGGCTCTTGCATTTTATATTACACTAGTAGCTCAGCTCAGTGTTGTACAGTGTACACGTCGGCTCTTGCAGGCGGCGAGGTGATGTTCCGCGCGCACGACGTGTCGAGCGTGGCGGGGCACCGCGCGCTTTGGAAACTTCACTTTGATCGAGCGCACGCGCTCGTGTTTGTATTACACTAGAATAGTATTGTACAGTGTGCACGTCGGCTCTTGCATTTTATATTACACTAGTAGCTCAGCTCAGTGTTGTACAGTGTACACGTCGGCTCTTGCAGGCGGCGGTGTGACGTTCCGCGCGCACGACGTGTCGGGCGCGGCTCGGCACCGCGCGCTCTGGGAGCGTCACTTCGCTCGAGCACACGCGCTCGTCTTTGTCGTCGACGCGGCCGACCATCTGCGCCTCGGTTAGTGGACACTCAAACTCAAATATTTATCAAGACGTTACCTCACACTAGGATTTTCTGCTGTATGGTAGAGGCAGTTTACATATATTTTTTTGCACTAAAACAAACATACCCGAAACATTGACTTGTTCCGTGCGGGATTCGAACCTGCGGCCCTTAGCGATGCAAGTCATTACTAAACCACTGCGCCACAGAGCCGTCAAAGCCATTTTAAGGTTTCCATCCAGGCCACACAGAGAGCCGTGGTAGCTCAGGGGTAAGTGCTCCCAGTAAATTTTATTGTATGCGAGCAACCTTGGTCCTAATCCCTGTCGGCACTAATGAAATTATTAATTGCAGTTTTAAGTGCTGATTTACCACGTGCTCGGTGGTGACGGAAAACACCGTGAGGAAACCTGGATGTCTGAGAAATAAGAAAAAAATATTTTGAATACATGTGCAGTTCGCCAACACACATTATAGCAGTGCAGCTTACATTTTCTTGCCCTGAAACCGTCTCATAAATGAGAGGAGGCCTGTGCCCAGCAGTGGGACGTATATATGCTGTAACTTTAACTTTTATACATTACAGCGTTTAGAAGTTCACTTCTGAACATAGATCTCACGCATAGTAGCTGCCACGTTTGGCAGAGGGATTGGGAACCGCAGTTTTTTATAATTTTTGGTAGTTTCCCTCTGCTGCCTTTTACGGTACTCACGGGAAGCTATGGAGAAGTGGATATTCTAACGTGGCCACTGCACAGCGTTACAAGGTTTACAAACGTCAAAATTTTTCAGCGGTAGCAAAATATAGCCTCATAGAAGGCCTCAAATGTATGCCAAAGCGTTTCCAATACTATCTCTATATGCGATGAAGGTGGAACAGCATGTACTAAATTGCATTCCGTAATAATTTAAAATTTTGTACAACCGACTTCAATATAAACTATTAAGAATAACTCAAAAACGATTAGTCAGACCTTAATCAAATTCATATGGGACCAGACGTAAAGCACCAGCTTTTAAATAAAAAAAGAATTATCGAAATCAGTCCACCCAGTATAAAGTTATGAGGTAACACACATAAAAAAAAAACATACAGTCGAATTGAGTACCGTTTCCTTTTTGGAAACGGTAGAAAAAGGCTGCAGTTAGAAATAGAAATTGAAACTGTTTTTTATTCAATACTAGCGATCCGCCCCGGCTTCGCACGGGTGATTTTTGGATCTCGACAACACACACACACACACTTAGCGGGTTCAATTGAAATGTGTTTTAACAATCCAATTCAAACATACACAAAATATTTGAACAATATTGGTCCAGCCGTATTCGACTTTTTGCAAGACTAGAGGTAGATTACAAATTATACTTATTGAAATATAATTAATAGAATCAGGCGTTACTTTGCGAAAATCCATTATATTAAGGCTTTAAAAAAATTTACTTCGCAAACATCCGCTCCATAAAATAAAATGATGTGTCTTACTTAGTATGAAGAGCACCTCCCGCCCTCCCTCAATCGTGCACTATCCCCGTCACCACTAATCCCAGCACCACTACTCTCAACACCACTATACTAGGAAAGACACACCACTGACGACAATACGACACGTGTTTCGCCTGTATGCGAGGCATCCTCAGGTGATGACTCTGCGGTGGCTGACCGTTAACGGTCACGGGGATAGTGCACGCAATTGAGGGAGGGCGGGCGGTGCTCTTCGTACTAGGTAAGACACATCATTTTATTTTATAGAGCGGATGTTTGCGAAGTAAATTTTTTAAAAGACTTATTAAAATTCATTCTTATGTTTAATTTACCACTGGTTAGGAAAATACCTCTGTCCTGGGAACAACCAGCACGAAACATATTGGTGACTTATTATAAGTTACAAAATAATTAACAACACAAAACAAATTAGAAATTATTTGATAATGAAATGAGGTCATTTCCATATATTTATTTCATTTAGAATTGTTTTAACGTTTTCATTCATCCATCCATTACAGCCCATAAAAGTCCATTGCTGCGGCCTCTCCTTTAGATTGTCTTACAGGGCAGATTTTGGATTGTTATCAGAAAGATGCTGCCGCCCAACTCCAGTTCCTTTCTGTCACCTCTTATGACACTTACAGGATAATAAGGGGCAGTGCACATTCTTACACCGTCACTACATGGATAGTTGCAACGTTTATAAGTGTCAAAACTTTTTAATCGGTGTTAAAAATATGGCCTTCTCAGAGATGGACAGACCAAAATTGGTGTAGTCGTGGATGTATGCCAAGGCGTTTCCGTGGTCCCGTTTTTAAGCGGAGAACAAGGAACACCATTACACACGCACGAGTTCGACGTCCTTTACTGTTATCTTTCTGTTAATTAGTTATATTATATTATATATATTATATAGTTTGTCTGTTATCTTTGCTCACGTATGAATTTTCCCTGTGTAAAGGCTACAATGAGATTATTTTTGTTAATTGTCTATGGATCACAGTGGACGTGATAGAGGGCCCACTCCTAAAATATCTGCAATAGTGCTGCAATAGTGGTGATTATGCCAAACTCTATAAGCTTTTCGACTTTGATTTAGAACGTGACACACAGTGGATCTATGGAGCGCGCAGATGTTCTGTGTGTCACGTTTCAGCAGTGACCCATATAGAACTGTTAACTATTACGTGCACCGGTGTGTCAGTGGTGGCGCGTGAAGAGTTGCAGCTGGCGCTGGCACACCCCGAGCTGCGCGCGCGCCGCGTGCCGCTTCTCGTGCTCGCTAACAAGAGCGACGACCCGCACGCGCTGCCCGCCGCACACGTTGCCGCAGGTGCGTGTAGCGTGATGCGTGTCGCGTGCTAGTGCCGTCCTGCAGCTGCCACTGCTCGTGCACGCCAACAAAAGAGACTTGTGAAAAGGGATTTTACTCCGTACCACACTTGTACACCTCATGTAATTCAAGCACCCGCTGCTCCATAGCGAGGAGATAAATAGTTTTCTTAGCTATCTATTGTCATTTTTTGGACATTCTAGAGTTAGCTAACTATATGACGTTCAGGTTTTAATCGTTTAATTTACAAATATTAAGGAAATCGACTTTATTTAATTAGTTACGCTGGTTGATAATACCGTAGAAAAAGTGTCAGAGGAGAGCGGCACAGATTAATCGACATTCACGTGCTGATCTCCACGGACAAAAGGACATAACTCGCATTCAATTACATACTCATCGTCAATGTAGATATTTGCAATTTTCTAAGGACGTGTATCATATAGGGATATTATTATAAGAGCGCAAATAATAAACACTTGCCCCTATAGTATGAACTTACATAAAATTGAGTATAAACAACTTTTATGGTTATATGGTTAGGACAATAAAAGAACCTTGTACTGAACCCAATGTATATTATTGAAGTCTGCTGAAGAATTAGAGCAAGGAAATGTTTTATAATAATAATATTGACGCAGAACGATTGAAACTAAAGACGTTTTATTAACAGTATTTTCGTCACAAATCGTCCCGTGAAGTAACCTTTCTTTCTTTTCTTTTTTTTTTAAACCTTACCTCCACACTAGAATTTTCTCCCGTATCGTGGGGGCAGTTTACAAACATAAATTTCACAAGGATAAACGTCCAGACCCGGAACAATTATTTGTAGGCCATAAAAATACTATATAATATTTTTTTATAGAATAAGGATGACAAAAAAGTGACACAAAATCAATCTGCAAATGCAAAATGCACAAAATCAAAATGCAATGGAATGTTTCGTTTCCAGTAAAACGGGTCTCCGGTTCTCTACACTCACCATACGAAACACAAGAGCATTGAGCTGCTATTTTACGCTGGTATTGTGTGAGAGCGTGGTCCTTCCCCGATCGAGCTGAACCATCCGTGCTACAACTATGATATAGCTGCAGCAAGGCTCTATAAAAATAGTAAAGCTTGCACTTCCGGTCTAAAAGTTATAGAGAGGCAGTATTTAATTATTCTATATTATACTTAAAATATTACTTAAATATACTTAATTAATTGAATCAGGTGTTACTTTGCTGAAATCCATTATAATAAAGACGATAAAAAATAATAAGTTAAATCTTACCTAGCTTGAAAATCACATCCTGCCAATCAATCAATTGCTTGCACCATCACCGTCAATGATGGCTAATAATCTGCCACTCACCAGATGTCGCTAGTTGGCACACAGGCAAAGTTTTTGTTACACAATGACAGTTAATTAAGAAATTAGTTTTAAATAATACTTTATCGTTTTCTAGAGTATTAAATTAATACAAAAAACAATGCGTCAGTGGCTTAATTTTTAATTTTTTGCACTTTATAACTCTTTTTGTTTTTCTACTTTTAGTAATATTTAAAGTTTGGTTCATTCATTTCTTATCTACTTAATAACTAATAATACGGAAAGAAACATTAAAGTATACATTTTCCTAAGAAATTATCGTCCTCCGCTATGAAATCTGTCAAATATTTTACCTCATTGTAAAGTGGCGCCGTCCTGGTGGCAGAAAAAGTCGTGGATGCCGCTCTTCGATCTAGGCAAGACACATGAATTTAACTTTTTTACGCGGATCTTCGCTAATTGATTTTTAACATTTTTAATTTTACTTAACTTTTCCATATAACCGCCAAATGACGTGTGATCGCTTTACTCCAGCGCTGGGCTTGGAGCGCATCAGCGACAAGCCATGGCACGTGTGCGCTACGAGCGCGGTGTCGGGCGGTGGGCTGGCCGGTGGAGTGGCGTGGCTCGCGCGGCAGTTGCGCGACGCGGCGCTACAGCAGCGTCGTTAAGCCTCAAACGTCACAGCACACGGAAAACGTCACACCGAACGGAACACGGAACACTGCACGGAACATGTCACACTGCGCGGAACACGTCACGTCGCCGTGTCACCGCCCCCGGTGTGAAGTCTTCTCTACAGTTTTATCATATAACGCCAAAGACTTCTATGTACTTCTAGAACGGCAATTCAGAAATAAAACAGCTGCAGATCGCGCGGGCGCGAGCGGGTAGCTATCACGGTTTTATAAGCGACGTTGTTGTATTTTCATTAACAAATTTACGACAGTTATTGTTTTAGGTAAATAGAAAATAAAGATACATATTTTCCTGAAATAAACTTTTTGAGGCGAAAACCTCTTTGGAATCGTAGTGATTTGAAACTCGATAAAACGAAAAAGCGACGCTAAAAAGAGACAAACATACATATTAGCCTGTCAGAGAATGAGATAGAATACAGTTTAGAAAACGACAGTAGCCCAACGGCAGGGTGCGGACCGCGAACTCAAAAGATTATAGGTTCGAATCCACCATTCAACTACTGTCGTGAACCACTAACACAAGCATTTTCAGCTTATTAGTAGTGGTTAAAGGGAATATTAGTTATGTTAATAGGATTGCTAATATTAAAAATAAATACAGTGTTTAGTAAAAAAAAATTAACTGTTAAAATTAACAGTATAAAAAATTAATAAAATTAACTATATTGAATATAATTATCATACCCATTCCATTCATAACAATGCGCGAATTAATATCAAAGTTTAAATCAAAGTTTGTCAATAAACAAGTTTAAACGTTTTATTAAATAAAGAATAATTATACAAAAAAGGTTATTATAATATCAAGAAATACATGAATGAAAATAACACCTGGGAATGAGGTGATCGCCAACTGTGCTGCATCTATTAAAATTCATTTAAAAATTGTACAAGCAATGTGAAAAATTCTGAAAGTTTAGTTTTCTCAAGGTTTTTCACTTCTACCGCGTGTGAACTGCACACAGTCATGTATTTTGTTGGTTTTCTTAACCACAGTAAACAAAATCAGTGTTACATTGTTGAATACGACATTCGCGGTTTACCATATTCAGAACTAGTGTTCTCGTCCGTTCGTAGTAGACTATAGAAGTTACGGAGAGTTGACCGTAATTTTGTGCGCATTGTATTAAGACTGCAGATGCCGTCTAATAGCATACACAGAAGTCTTTGTATACTTTATATTTAATTTTCTTAATATGTAGATATTATGTAATTGTTATAAATGAATGGTTTATTCGTAAAACACAATACTACGTACAAAGAAATTGAAACAGTTTACAAATCAGGAAAAAACAATATAGTTACAAATAAACCTAGCAAGCTAACAGCATAGCAAAGTGGCGAAGCAATCAGCTTTGTAGCGGTTTCTAACGGTTGCCGTTGAGCAATTAGTTTCAAAATAGGAGGTTCAGATGCCTGGGTGATCAGTAATCGATTGCTGAAAACAGAATTTGAAAATTCAAAACCGTTCTCGAGATAATCGTGAGACAGACGAACAGACGGACAGACGGACAGACATCGTGAAATCAATAAGTGACTTCGCAAGCTTCGCCACTTAATAATTATGATGTCCTCCAGACCGAATGATGGTCACGGTACAGTGCCCGAGTGTTATGTACAGGGTTATTTTGCAATAACCGGCGAAATTTGCAGATAAGGTTTAGAATAAGTAAAGTTTAGAATAAAAAAACATGCGTGAGTGTCGTGGAACACTCGGTTGGAACGAAGTTTCTTTCAAAGTATATTATTATTGATAAACGTATTATATTATTGATTAACAAATATAAATTAATTAATTATTAGCGTCTATTAAAATAAAGCGTCATTTAAAATAAAATACACTATGACACAAGAGGTCATCATCATTCATCACTACAGCCCTTCACAAGTCCCAAGGAATGCCACAAAGCACGGTCCTGAGCCAACTGCATCCATCGACTTCCTGCATATCTATGTACGTGGTAGAGCCATGCTGCAGCTATATTAGTTGTATAGTTGTAGCACGAATGGGTCGGCTCGACCGGGGAAGGACCACGCTCTCACAGAATACCAGCGTCAAATAGCAGCTTAACCCTGCTGTGTTTCGTATGGTGAGTGTAGAGAACCGGAGACCCTTTTTACTGGAAAAGAGGCATTCCATCTTAGTCCTCACGGGTGACAACGCATCTGCATTTTGATTCGCAAACGAAGATAAATGTAGATGTCTATGGGCCACAGCAACCACTTACCATCAGGTGGACTGTGTGCTCGTATGTCACCCTATCCTATAAAAAAAAAAAAAGTAAAAAAAAATATCTTACCAGGTCGTCACTCCATCTAGTGGGGGGACACCCTACACTTCGCCTGCCGGTACCAGGCTGCCACTCGAGAACCTTTCTTCCCCATCGGTTGTCGGTTCTTCGAGCTATATGGCCGGCCCATTGCTACTTCAGCTTACTAATCCGTTGGGCTATGTCGGTCACTCTGGTTCTACTGCGGATATCCTCATTTCTGAGTTTATCACGCAGAGAAACTTTGAGCATAGCCCTCTCCATAGCTCGCTGAGCGACCTTGAGCTTCCTCATCCGGCCAGCAGGGGTAGTGACGAAAAAATCTTACACTTTTTGTCGCCTAGCTCCCGTTTGGTGGATGCCAAACCCGTACCGTCCGATAAGGAACTTCGTTCCAAAAAAAATCTCTAATATACTCTCCTTTTTATCTTTTAAATTCAAAATGCGTGGTAATGCATTATTTATCTGATTTTATTGCGCACGCACACATTCGTAAGGGTCGATCGGTAGGCAAAAATGTTGTTGCACATAAATCACATTCAATTTGTCGTTGCTGCTGGTGATAAGAGGGCTGGTTCTTTCCTCGCTCAAAGGCTAAATATAGCCATTCAGCGGGGAAACGCAGCCAGCGTTCTTGGCACGATACCGCGGGGAGTAGGACTATATGATAATTAAGTTTCTAGTTTTAGTTTTTTTTTGTATTATTATTATTACTGTCAAATAATAAATTTGAGATAATTTCAAATAAAATTAGAAGCCGTATTTACTCGTATTTTCAAAAACTGCAATGACGATATATCATTATGTATATATTTGAACATAAGTTTATAATTTGGTTACTATGTATTTGAAAAATAACCCTGTATAGTAATATTATACATAGGCGTTTATGTATATATATAGTGATATATACATACAAGTACAGGTGCACTCTCTATTTCCACACACTCATAGTCCGATAGGATGCCAAAACAACACGACCGGAGAAAGATCAAGACCCAGAACCCACGGCTTTTACGTGCTTTCCAAGACCCGGGAGTGAAACACCACCGACTCTCTGACTACTGGTCGCTACTGAGAATTGCCTGACAGAAAAACTTAATAACAGTTTTTGTTGGCTCGACCCGGGATTTGAACCCCGAACTCCATGATCAGTACTCGCGTTTACTACCGACGAAACATTGAGTTGCAGCTACGAAAAGGCATCCAACTCAGCACAGCATTGTTGCCACCGCCGCAGCGCTGTTATTCTGTCGGTGCCTCATATTACCGAGCAGTATTTTTTATAGGATAGGGTGACAAACGAGCACACAGTCCACCTGATAGTAAGTGGTTGCTGTGACCCATAGACATCCACATCTATCCTCAATAAAGAATCAAAATGCAGATGCGTTGTCACCCGTGAGGACTAAGATGGAATGCCTCTTTTCCAGTAAAAAGGGTCTCCGGTTATCTACACTCACCATACGAAACACAGCAGTGTTGAGCTGCTATTTTACGCTGGTATTCTGTGAGAGCGTGGTCCTTCTCCGGTCGAGCCGACCCATTCGTGCTACAACTATACTACTAATATAGCTGCAGCATGGCTCTACCACGTAAGAAAACGCAGGCAGTTGTAGGACATATTTCTGTTACAATGAAGAAATAAAATAAGTTGAATAATATATATTGCGATATTAAAATATGTAGATATTTTAAAGGAATCTCTAGTTGAAAAGTGGTTAAAATTTTAAAAATATATACTAATCTATAGTATTTTTGTTTCTTATTAATTTAAACCCTTATACGAAATGTAAATACTGAAGAACCAACCAATAGTAATTTTTCTAATAGGTTATAGTAAACACTCTTTCTTCTTGAAAGTATTAAGATATTATCTGAGGATATTATGTATTTAATAATCACCATCATTATCATTATTAAAGTCCATCACAAGTCCACTGCTGAATATAGGCCTCCGCCAAGGAAGTGAATGAATAAATTGTGGACGTCTGATAAAAATCACTTACAGGTTCCAGTTCTAAAGGCGATGTTGATAACAAAGGTCAACGTAAAAAACTTGGCCAGAATTTTATTCTTATTTAAACTCATCACCAACTTTATTAAAGCAAATTTTTTCCATTGACAAATATAAATATAATTAAAAAAATATGTTGCATTTAATAATTACTGTCTGAGGAACTGCTTTAATGAAGCTGGTGAACTGGTGATTAATTTTTATTTTTCACAATTTGTTATAATAAAAATAATTATAATTAATGTGATTATAATTATAGTGAAAACTAATTGTATAAAGTTACAGTTGTAAGAGCCGTGGTAGCTCAGATGGTTAGCGCTCGCTGTAAGCTTCACAGTACTCGAGCAACCCGGGTTCGATCCCCGCCGGTACCAATGAAATTGTTAATTGCAATTTTAAGTGCTGATTTACCACGTGCTCGGCGGTGAAGGAAAACATCGTGAGGAAACCTGCATGTCTGATAAATAAGAAAAAAAATATTTCGAAGACATGTGAAGTTCGCCAACACGCATTGGGGCAGCGCGGCGGACATTTCCTTGCCCTAAAACCCTCTCAGAAATGAGAGGAGGCCTGTGCCCAGCAGTGGGACGTAAATAGGCTGCAACTTTACTTTACTTTTACAGTTTTTAAATAAATAACATAATATTTTGTTTTTATTTTTAACCTGCTAACTGGAGAGTATAAATAAACCCATGTCCCGTTTTGAATTAAAAAATAAATGGTCAGTTTAAGCATACCTAAAGTAAACATACGTCCCGTTTTGAACGGGACTGTCCCTTTTTTCGGTCACCTGTCCCGTTGTCCACAAACAAAGCTCCGGGACGAAAACAGTCCCGTTTTCAGAAATAGTGCAAATATTTAAAACTATGAAGTTTGTCAGACACGAACGGTGCGAGAGCGACTGAATAATAACCGATAGGGATAATTTAAGTTTCCGTAGAAAAACACGTTGGGTGAAAGTATTCAAAAACTTTCACAGCAACAATCTTCAACATAATATATTTTATTTTTGCATTTTAATCGTAAATTGTGAACTTTTGAAAAAAAACACTTACAGGTTCCAGTTCTAAAGGCGATGTTGATAACAAAAGTCAATATAAAAACATGCAAAGAATTTTATCACCAATTTTCTTAATGCAAAGTTTTTCGACTGACCAATGTAAATAATAATTTAAAAAAATATGTTGCATTTAATAATAAGGTAGGGTAAAACACCCAGTAGTCAGCCTTTTAGTAAGGACGAAAATTTGATTCAACTGTATTTTAAATATTATACATTACGTATAAAAACAATCATTATTCTCAGAAAGGTTGCTTATTAAATTTACGAAAGAAATCAACAAAACATTATATTTATAATAGAATTATATAAAAAACCAACATTAAACAAATTATGGCACTTTTCACCAGTAGTCAGCCTCATTTCTCCATAAGTCAGCCATGTCTTACCCTGTAGTCAGCCTCTCACTTACTTTCTCTTACTTACTCTCTTGCATATTCGGCTTAGAAATTCTTTATTATGCATATTTTCAAATATCATCATCATCACCATCATCACCATCATCATTACAGCCCTTCACAAGTCCACTGCTGAACATAGACCTCCCCCAAGGAATGTCACAAAGCACGGTCCCGAGCCACCTGCATTCATTGACTTCCCGCATGTCTTACCAGGTCGTCATTCCATCTAGTGGAAGGATGTCCTACACTTCGTCCGCCGGTACGAGGCAGCCACTCGAGAACCTTTTTTCCCCATCGATTGTCGGTTCTTCGAGCTATATGGCCGGCCCATTGCCACTTCGGCTTACTAACCGTACCGCTGGGATATGTCGTTCACTCTGGTTCTACTGCGGATATTCTCATTTCTAACTTTATCACGCAGAGAAACTCCGAGCATAGTCCTGTCCATAGCTCGCTGAGCGACCTTAATCTTTCTCATCCGGCCAGCAGTGAAGGAACACGTCTCAGATCCGTAAGTCATCACTGCCAACACGTACTGGTTGTACAATCTTATTTTGAGGTTTTGAGGTATGCCTGTCGTAATCTCCCGAACACTGCCCAGCAGAGGTGAATCTGCCGATTGACCTCTCGGTAAAAGTTGTACTTCGATTTGCCGACGATATAGTCCTTATGAAAGAATCGCTGGAGGACCTAAGTACTATGCAATGACCTCAATAGTGTCTCCCAGCGGATAGGCCTTAAGATGAACATGCACGAAACAAAATCACGTTTAACGTCCATGTCACACCTATGCCGGTAGTTGTTGGGAGCACTAAGCTCGAAGTTGTTGACGAATATGTTTACCTGGGACAAATAGTCCGACTAGGTAAGTCCAATTTTCATATATGTCCCCAGCGAATTCAGTACATTTCAAATATACCAGCAAGACAATTGTCACATCCAATATTCTTTAAGTCAATAATTTTAGTGTCGCTAGTCAATTCCTCTTCACAGTTTTTGAAGCAGACACACGACACACAGACTCCAGGCCACTACAATGCCATTCTGATCTGGCGCGTGCCTGTAAATTCGAAGCACAAATAATCATTACACCACCCCCCAACGACCCTCTGTCCGTACGAAAGACTGTAAATCTGTCATCACACAGCTCAGCATCAAAAATGCTATCGCAGAGCCATGTTTCAGTTATCATAATTATATCGGAGTCCTGCAGTAACATGTTTTTAAAAAATTCATCGCTTTTGGTTCGTAGTCCTCTCACGTTTTGATAGAATAGCTTAATTTTCTTCATATTATTGTTATTCATCTTGATTAAATTGAGTGTGTTGAAAAATATAGGCAAGACATATATAATTGCAGTTGGTTATATGGACGGTCGAAATAAATTGAAGCGCACAATGATAAACGAATGATTTAAATAGTGAGTAGGTATTACGCAGAGTTTGAGTGACATATATGTTAATGAGCATTGGATGTATTCGTACATGCAGTAAGGATAAGAGGTTAGGATAATATGCAATTGTTTCTAAGGTACGTGATGTGTATATGCAGTGTATAATGTGAATATGAGTGTAAGTAGATTTTATAATGTATGTGTATTTGTGTATGCTGTGTGTTAAAGTGACCACCGGAATATAATATAATATAATATAATAATGTCAATAAATTTAAGTTATAAAAAAAAAAGAAAAAAAATTGCATAATGTCAAACTAGTATAATGTCAATCTTACAAATTCTAATTCCTTCGTCAATTTAAAATTTAAAATTTCAACAACAATTCGCTTGAGGTGACCGTCACGGCAGAATTTGATAAATTCATTTATGTCATAAAAACAGTTTTCAATCAGAATCCCGAAAATAATTTATTTCACAATGTCATTAAAATTGATAAGTTGCGTTTTAAATAAATTTTTATCGGTTTCATGTTTATGCAAATACAAAAACAGTGCCTCAGTGAATTGCTCTTTAATTTTTTGCTCATATTTTACTCCCTTTTTAATTCTTCTACTTTTAGGAATATCCGTAGTTTGGTTTGTTCATTTATAATCTAACGAATGTAAAATATAACTAATATTTTAGTAAGAAACATTAACCCTTTCCTTTGACTAACAAATTAATTTCTCCGCTATGCAATCTCAAATATTTTATCTAATTCCTAAGTGGCGCCGCCCTGTTGGCAGATAAATTTATGAATGCCCTCTTTGGGTAGTAATGCAAGAAAGCGTTAGATGGTGCTGTTATGTACTAAACCATGGCTTGATGACGCTACACCTGCCTACTCC